CCCAGTTCTGAATGGGTTACAGGGTGTTTTCAAAACAAACAAATTGGGGATGGATAAAACAAGGTTACTAATGCAAATGAGAGCAGGGTGGTATAAGAATTTAATTTTAATTTTTAAGAAGCTACCTAAAATAGATAGAAGGAGGCATCTCTGATATGGATCTCCCTTTTTGTTTCGGGATTTTGCTTTGATTACCAAACAGGAAAATATTTCATGTTACTGTGAGACTATGCCATTGACTTCACAGAAAAGTTATCACTCCTCAAACACAATGATTTTTGTTCAGTTCATTTAAACTTTTCCTTATCTTTTCATTTGCAGACTGTAGTCTTGAGTGGGGTGGGGTCAGGTCTAATTTTGTTATGTTACCTCCACCCATGTAAGGAAATTCTTTGCCTTCAACATCAGCTATATTGTTTCCGGCAAAGTGGTGGCAGTTTACAAAGGATTTGTCAGGGTTTTTAACGTTCGGTGTAGGCAAAATTAGCACAGGTAAATGATGGAGCTGCAGCAACTCACGAAAGGTTTACAAATGAAAACCTAATTTGATCCATGATCGTCCATGATTGAAAGAATCACAGAATCATAGGATGGTTTTGGTTGGAAAAGACCTTTAAGATCATCAAGTCCAACCATTGAATCTAAGTCCACCACTAGAGCATGTCCCTGCACACAACATCTCCTCTTTTAAACACCTTCAGGGATGGTGACTCCACCACCTCCCTGGGCAGCCCCTTCCAGTGCTTGACAACCCTTTCAGTAAAGAAATCACTCCTCATATCCAACCTAAACCTCCCCTGGCACAACTTGAGGCCATTTCCCCTTGTCCTGTCACTTGCTACCAGGGACAAGAGACCAACCCCCACCTCACTACACTCTCCTTTCAGGTAGTTGTAGAGGGTGATAAGGTCTCCCCTCAGCCTCCTCTTCTCCAGACTAAGCGCCTCAATTCCCTCAGCCTCTCCTTATAATTCTTGTGCTCTAAACCCCTCACCAGCCTCGGTGCCCTTCTCTGGACATGCTCCAGCCCCTCAATGTCCTTCTGGGATCAGTGAGGGGCCCAAAACTGAACACAGGATTTGAGGTGCAGCTTCAGTTGCCCTGCTTCTGTTGGCCACACTATTCCTGATGCAGGCCAGGTTGCTGTTGGCCTTCTTGGCCACCTGGGCACACTGCTGGCTCATGTTCAGTGGCTGTCGACCAGCACCTCCAGGTCCTTTTCTACCTGGTAGTTCTCCAGCCACTCTTCCTCAAGCCTGTAGTGCTGCATGGGGTTTTGTGACCCAAAGGCAGGACCTGACACTGGTCCTGTTGAAGCTCTTCTAAAGCTTGGACTCAGGTGGGGAAGCAGTTTTGTACCTTTAGTATGACAGTTCCCCTGTGAAAAAATTATTTCTTAGGAAACATTGACTTCTTTCTATCCTTGGAAATTGTAATTCTGTACTACTTAACTTCTTATTACCTTAGTTCTGATGCCAGATTTCTTTCAAAAAATCTTGATTTCCTTTTGATGTTGAAAAAAGACAGGTTTTTCAGTCTGATTGTAAGTGATTTAGTAATCTTTTGAGATTCAGAAGAACAAAAGCCATTGTAGTGGAATAATGTCTGTTGGGTTTTTGGTGGTTTGTTTTTATTCAGTTTCCCCTTAAGGTTGTGTGATCAAAATTTTGAAAAGACTTTTTATTGCAAACCTAACACTGTGATGTTCAGGCGTTTGGGTCAGAGTTTTTGTAAGTAAATGAGATTCAGAGTATAAAATCCCACACGAATGTTAATTTATAGTTCAGCAAGTCAACTCTTTTGTTTTAATATTAACATATCCAGCTTGATAGAATAATTACCATTTTATAGCATGAATAGATACATTATCACGGAAAGCAATTTGTAACCATCAGCTCTCTAATCCTGAAATCGATGGGATGTCACTTTTTCTGTGTGAGGCTGAGTTTTGTAGCACATGTTGGAGCCGTGGCTTTCCTTGGCTGACAAATGTCCCTGCGTTGTATTGCGCTGCCTTTAATAACTTCAATTCTGGCAGCTCTCATCGGTATTTAAGAACTTCATCATACTGAAACTGCTTTTAATTAATGAAAGGAGAAAGGCTGTGATGCAGTTTGCACACACTGACAGATTTGTATGCTGCCTAATGTTTTACTATGGTTTTTTTAATGTTCTTTCTTATATATCTTTCTGATATATATCTATATAATCTATATCTATATCACAAAACTTCAGAGTTGTGGTCATTGCGAGAGGAGTGGGGAAATGATGAAATTAATGCTTATATATCTTTTTATATTCCTAGAACTACAGAAAGCTCCAGAGCAGTAGGAATTAATTAATCTACAGTTAATAATAGTTGCAGAGAAGAAACGTGTTGAGATGGGCTTCATCTCACCCAGCTTTATTTGACCGCTGCATAGATGTGTGTATCTGAGCTAATTGTCCAGGCGCTATTTACGGTCAGTGAAGAGGAACAGGCGCTCGGCGTGCTGCATTTCATCTGACCTATTTTAGCCACTTAGAGGGAGAGGAATCGGACCGCAGAAGTGCCAGCTTCTCTCTGTTGCCTCTAAAAAGGACCTAGGAGTGACAAACTCCAACGTAGGTGGCTACGCTGGAGAAGTCCTTATGTTAAATGACATGAACCCCTCCGGCTGGGTTTAACGTAAAAAGAACATATGGGCTTCATGTGAAGGCAGGGGGATTGAGCTTTGAAATATTAATTTACAGCACGCTGGAATAAAAAAATCACAGCTGCTTTGCACACTGAGCATTTTTAAGTGCTCTGCCAAGTTTAAACTATTTATTTACATTTATTAGCAGAGTTGCACTCTGGTGTTTAGATCGAAGCTTTAGGAACAGATACGCTTGATTGTAAAAGTCCACAAGTTTCATTTTTAAGGGACTTTCAGGTTTACCATTGTTGGACAGCATTTCTCCCAAGACAGAAATTCTCCAGAATTTAGCCAAGACACAACCAGCCTTGGCTATTTTATACACCATTTGTATTGTGTGAAAGTGTGAGACATACCTGCTATTGGAACTGTACATATTTGATATGAAAATAAATGTCCTTGAAAATGAGATGCTAACTTTGGCACCGATACGACTGTGATACTGAAGGTTCATCCCTTTAGCGTTAGAAAAACACATGAAATCTTAAAATCTTAGCCTTATGTGAACTAAATGTGCATAGCAAGATGAATTCCAGTAAAGCTGTGCCTGTACCAAGGACTGAAGATGCATATGTGTATTGCTGTAGGTTTTTATGGATTTGTGGTTGGGAATTTCCTGACGTCTTTGTCAACTCATCATCCCAGCCATATGCTCGTATTCCACAACTATTTTAATTTTTTTTAAAATCATGCTTAGCAGTGTATTTGGTAGAGCTGATATCACTTATGAGAGCCCGGAGATATTAACCTATAGCTTTCTCCCAGCTTTCTGGTGCATCTTCCTTCATTTCCAGAACCTTTCCATGGCTGGGGGGGCCTCACGTTGCCGCCCTGGCTGCTGACCACTCAAGATGGGGCTTTGCTGCAGGGCTGAGGGAGCCAGCTGCGTTGTGGGGCCTTGGAAGAAATTCCCGTCGTCTTTGCTGCTGGTTGGGCACGGCCTCCTGTTTGGTTTGTGGAGTTTTTGCGCTAGGAAGTTTGAGGCAGGTTTAATACCTACAGTTGAAGGAGAAAATTGGCCTGTGCTGGGAAGAACTTTACACTGGGTATGTGGAGGATGAAGATAAAGTGGATCTTTGGATATAAAATTTTGGGCATGAGAATTCCAGCGGCACAATTTTATTATTTTCCTCACAGCATCCTTCACTGAGGATGGCAGTATGTTAAGTTTTCGTTTCAGCTGCTGGGTGCTGTCGCTGTGTGCTGATGGTAGGTGAAACATCTGAGTGATTTGTCTCTGCTTTGCGTGTGTCTGGTAGCCTCACCTTCAAAGTTGGGCTTCATTTTGCTGGGGCAGAAACTGCTTCTTAAGGCTTGCACAATTTCACCTCCCCCCCCCAACTCTTCAAAATTATTTAAATAAACGAATGCAGTTTTATATAGAAATGCCTTCTTCAGTCTGTGAAATCTGGTCTATACAGTTTAAATAAATGTACTGTTTAAATGGCTATCTGTGAAATTTGGTATATTTAAATATATATGCAATATATATTGAATTCTTCTATAATATTCTTAGTATAAATAGTATAGTATTCTATAGTATTCTTATAATATGTATTGTATAACTTACAGATAAATATATAATATATATTTAAATATACCCAGAGTTGAGTATTTAAGTGAAATTGTCAGTCACTTGCAAAGTCTTACATGCTTAATAGAGAACTCACTTTAAATGTATACGCATTTATACCTAGGCCATGCAGTGTGATTTCATGGCTCTGGTTCTAACAGGGCTTTTGAGTTTGAACTTTGATGTCGTCCTCTGGTAACTGCTAAGTTGATGATACATTTTTGTTGTGTTTTTGATATTTCTGTGCGCATAAGAGATTTGTTGTGCTAATGTGAAATGGGAGCTGTTGATCAGGAGTTTTTAAGAAGTTTTGAGAGCCGTGTATCTGAAGTGTGCAGGTGTTGGGTGTCGTGGTGTCATTTGGAGTGCAGGATGGTGACTTGAGGAGAAGCCCCCTATCCTTGCAGTTTGTAGGTCCCTTTTTTGACATAAATGACATCTCCCTTACCCAAACCTGACCTCACTCTTCTGCTGTGGCTGTCCTGCACAACTGGATGAATTGTTTCATAGAGGGGGATGTTGTGACGGTGCTCTGGGGTGCCATCTAATGGAAATAAAGCACTGTCCCTCCTCCTCGTCAAAAATTAAAGATCTCCACCTGTCACTCTCCAGGCAAGTAATTATAGGTGGATATGTGTTAAATTATTTGAGCACCTTACAAATATAAACATGAATATTAATAAATCATATACAAAGATCCCATTGCTTAATTTCTTCCTTAATTTTCTCAAATTCTTTCCCTCATACAGGCTCTCGATGGAAATATATATGATCACCTTAAGGATTATTTAATGGCATTCAGCATGACTGAGCTAGAGACATGCCAAGCTGTACAAAACACCTTCCAGTTCTTACTGGAGACTTCCAGCAGGGTAAGTTTGTGCCGAATGATCCTCTGTAACTGAATCCTTACAGCATATGGAAGTGCCCAGGCTTAAGATTTGCTTCCAAACTAGTGACAAAACTGAGTGGTTATTATTTTTGGTTACTCCTAAGCCAGTATTAAGTTAAACCAGACAGTTTTCTTGGGGAGAACTTTTCCTGTTGCCACCCAGATTGCGTTCTCACGAGTGGTTTACACCATACAAGGTCTTTTGAGAACAGGGATCAAGAGGTGTTCAGTTATACCCATGCTGCGTGTTTGGAAAGAGAAACTGCAGCTGAAATCTGCGCAGTGTAATCTGGAACTGCATCAGTCACTCATCATGGTAAAGCCCTATGAAACTGTTTGGATCATTTCCCAATAATTGAATGTCAACTTAAAAAAACCCAAAATATTACAGCATTTCCTCCTTTGAATGAAGAATGACAAATACAGAAAACAGATTAGAGTCTTGTCACAGACGTGATTTGTTTGCTTTTTTGAGCAGCCAGAATACGTGATCGCTTCCAGGATAATTTTGATACTTAAATAATTCATCTGCTGGGCTAAAAAAAATAAAAAATAATTGCTGTTGAGCTCAAATGAGCTACGTTGGTGCAATCATAACATTCCTTTATACCTATACCTCAACAAACTGCACAGAAACAGAGCTCATTTGTGCTGGGACTTATGTAGAAACCATGTATTTGACTCATTCCTTCTTCACCTGCGAGCTCACGAACTCACACCTTATTAGATGTAAAGTGAGGGGATTAAAAATTGACTTCACACAAGCTTGTCTTTGAATTGACTTGGCAGCAGCTGTAAAGATAATGAAAATACCATTTATCTTCTGTTGGAAAAGGACTTAATAATTTACCTTGGTGTATATCATTTGGGTCGGTTTAAAATACATTCCCCCAAAATGCTGGATTTGAGTCTTTTAACTAAGTATGCTTATATATAATGTCTGCATATCCATAAATAATTTCTCAGTATTGTATTCAGCGCTTTGCAATGAGAATATTTAGCGTGCTGGCTGGCTGGGACTTTCATCTAACTAAACTGTCATTTCCAAGCAGGAAAACTAGGAATACTTGTGGCGTATATTTGTGAGTGCTGAGGTTGTGCTGGCTTGCGTTAGCAAAACTCTGTGTGGCCAGAAGCCCACAGGTCTGGTTTATTTTATACAGTAACAACGTCATGCTGTGTGTTTGAGTAAAATAGCTCTGTTTTCGCTTTACTAAGTCAGTACAATGCCTGGAGAAGGCACAAAAATGTAAATAGAGCTGTCAGGTCTGAGCAGGATTTTTACAACTTGTTTATAGCTCATCAGCACCAATTTGCTTGCAGCTCAAGAATGTGGAGAAGAAAAATGTGTCTTATGTTACTACTGAAAATGTGCGTCTTGCTCTGAAATACTACACATGTGAATCAGTGGCTTAAAAATACTACACACGTGAATCAGTGGCTTATTCCACAGGCGGAGGATGAGGCTTTGCTCATCCTTTCTTTTGAATTTCAAGCACTTCCTATAGGGCCACATTGCTGGAATAGGAGTCATCAAATCCAGAGTAGAAACTCAGCATCAAAAGCTGTGCATGTGTTTTGAAAGCAGCTTGAGTGTTAAACATGGAACAAATTTTTTAGCTATTTAGTAATTTGGAATAAAAACAAACTTGCTATCAAAGCAACGATTTAAATATTTATTGTATTTTTTTAGAACTTCACCTGTTCTGCGTTACTTTGAAGTAGAAGATCACAAGCTTGCCAAGCTGCGTTGAGAAAAGACGCGTTAGGTCGTTGATCGAAATGCATTCATTTTTCCATCTGAGCTATATTTCTGTTTACAGGATGGATTTAGCTGATATTTGCAGTTCTGGAGGTTTTATTACTGCTAGGTTGGGGTTACATGTCATTCCTCTGGCATTTCCAGGTGTATTACCCTCTGTCACGGTGCATTTGAAAATGCAATTTAACTGCCTTTTCACTTGAACAGTCTTTTTCAAGACTCGTACGTCTTGCTCTTCTCTTTTGGAAAAAAATCTGATTTACTTTGGAACATTTTCCTAAATTCCATTTGCTGTTTTGAATGACATTTCTGTGATGTTTCTGGTAAGAAGCTTCCCCAACCTAGGGCAAATAATTTCATTTATGCACGTCTCTGACTATGCCTTCTTGCTGCATATGGTGCATATTTAACATCTGATTTCAAGTCTGCTTTAGCATTTCAGTTGACATTGACTTCATGAAGAAACTGCGTGAGAACACCGATTTTATTTCTGAATAACAGGAAATCCATTTGGACAAGTTACTGCTTAATCCTGAGAATCCTGTATTCCTTCAGAGCATTTTTGTTTTCTTTTTTTACAGTTGTCAAATACATCGTGCAGAATGCTCCGGGGTATTCGTTTGCTGCACTTGGACACTCTCCCAAGTCTCATGTTATGATAATATTTCTCCTCATTTGTAACTAAATTTTGTTTCTTTGAGGGAAAATTACTTACAAGTGCTGTTGTAAAGGTGGTTTTTCTTCTTTGAAGAGCAGAGCTGCTTTTGAGTGAGAGGTCTCCAGTGAAAGCTTATAGCATTAAAATAACTGCATCGGTTTCCACGTCCTCAGTAACAACACTTTTTGTTTTTCCTAACTGAAGTTGGTTTAAAATAGTTACATATGTTTGAGAGTCGGGTGCTATGGGCAGGGGTCACTTATATCTAAAGAAGTATGTGAAGGCTGGAGCTGTTTAATATAAATTATCTCAATGCCGTGGTCAACACTGAGCAGCGTCTGAAGCTGCAGACTATTCCTCCTTTAGTATTTTCCAAATTTCTATTTGTGGGAATTGCTAATACAGACTCCCTCTATGCCTGCTCTGTATGTTTTCGACGCATTTGAATGTGTTTACGTTCAACTGCTCAATTTGGTGCAGTAATTATGTACTTTCCTGTTTTAAATGAGCGCATTATTGGCCCTGGAGGACTATTTACTTTCTTTAACTGAAGATTAATTTTTTACAGTTCAGTATTTCGGGAACACAAGCATCAACATTTTGATGCATTAGAGAACGTGTGGTATTTACCATTGTACATACAGTGTAATCAGAATTCTTGGCCATATACAACGCTGCTGTTATTTCTGGATAAATACCAGCTTTATTATACACTTCTGTACATTTAAACCCTCAGTTTGGTTGTAGGTTTTTATAATGCCATGCAGCTATTTACGCGTTTTCATCAATTGAAGTAGTGAACGCTCTCTAGAATTCATCAGCCAGCGACGCTGTTTTTATCTTACTGCAATCAATGAGTTTTTCTTTCTAAATATGTGTAAATTGTGACATAAGGGATTTGTTTAGGAATACGTGTCACGCTGCCTGAAATGTATCATTAAACAAATTTAGTTGCTGAAGTAGTTTTGGTTTAGCAAAATGCAAGCTACGAGAGTTTTCTCTGAAAGCAATTGAATATAAAAAGATGCATTTTGCAACTGATTTTGTATGCATTATTCCAAATAGTCTTTTCAGCTCCTGCAGCTAATAATTTGTGTAAAAATAAGACATTTCAGCCTAAGAAACAACTGTGTAGAAGAAATTATCTGCGAGTGGAAAGAAAAATATTTACAGTAGTGACACCACATACTGTATACTCAATAGTTGGGGTGTTTTTTCTCCCATTTTGCATTTGTGGGATGTTTGGTAGGTTAAGGGCAGATATTCTTTAGCTCTCTGTTGTCCAGGCTGTGTCCTACCAGTCACTCTGGACAACTGTGGGTGGCACTGCCCAGCATCACATCCTCTATTTCCGTGGGTTGCATTCAAGGTTCTGCCTTAGCGCACTGATTTTGCTGTAGTGTTTTTAGGTTGACAAAATAACGATTGAAATGGCATTTATTTCCTCAGGTGGTGCGGGATTACAACCTCCAGCTGTTTCTACAGGAGAACTCAGTGTTTCACAAACCACAGCCTTTCCAGTTCCAACCCAGCGACAGCGACACTGTAAGAACCCTGCTGAATTCCTTGATTTATTTCTTGCTCCATTTTTAAGAATGTCGGTATAAATGGGTAAGAGAATTACAGTCGCTGGTATCCCAGGCTGCCTTAACCTTATGCTGTATTTTTGGAAAAGAAAGGGAAACTGGGCTGATTCCATCAGCTCTGCATGCAGTAGGTAGGGGATCATAGCAAAAGCATCAAACAGTTTCAGTGTCATTCACAGAAGAGCAAAATCTTTTCTTTGCTTCCAAATTGTGACGAGCAGTCCTGTATTTCCCTGTTTTCAGCACAATTTTCACTATATTTTATTAGCTTTTTGTTGTGACAGTGAGATTCTCATACTATTCACTGATACTGGAATACATGTGTGATGCTATGCCAGATAAAGTGTCCGTATACCTCTACATTATTCAATGAATATTTACACTTACATATAAGAAGTTACAGAGTTAGAAAGAAAACTGTTTAAACATTGATTCCAAAATAATCTTGGAAAATCTTATTTTGATGCGATGTTGCTTCTGAAGCAATCGTTAATGGCACTAAAACTGAGTAAATCATGGTATGTAAATACATTTCCAAACAGCACTTTTATTAAAGTGGATTGCTGATGTCCCACTGATCGTTACTAACATTATTTTAAGAAATAACTGTTGAAAATAACCCTGTTAATAGATGCAAGTGGTTTTTCCAGACATACCAACAGCTATAACACAGTTTCCTTTGTCTTCCCATTTTAACAAACTGTGATTTTGCTTTTTTCTTCCAGCTCCTTTGTCTCGAGTCAGTTATTTCCATACAATTCTGGGTTCTCCTTAATACAGTCAGCTGAGTCTTTCTAACTGCCTTTTGCCCTGCCTTTCTAACCTTTGCTGCTCTGTGTTTTCATCCTTGTGCCCTCTCTGTGTCCAGAGTTTTAATGCAGTTCAGCTGGTGGATATCGAGCCCTCACCTGTCAGTGCTATGCGAATGACTATAGCAGAGGTATATGGTAGTATTTATAATCAGTATTTTGTGTCATTATCAGTATGCATGTGGCTCAGGATGCTGAGTTTACACTCATGTAGAGGTGGCAACAGAATGCATAATATATATACAAAATAACTGGAGAAAAAAGAAAGAAAAAAGCTTTTTCCACAATGAGATTTAAGTTAAAGAAGGAAAAAAGCAATTTAGCTGTGTTATTTGTCAGGATCAGCTTCACACTTCTCTTTCTGCACTTGCACAGCATTTGTAATTGATATTATAATCTTTTGGGGACATGAATTAAAATTTCACAGCTCAAGATAGCGATGTGTATAATTGGTTACTTCTCGAATGTGAATGGGGAAGCTTGCAGAACAACTGGAGGCGATCAGTATGCGCACATGAAGTGCGGTCCCATTACTAATTGAATTTTGTTCTTTTTCCAGAGGGCTATCCCCATGTAAAATAGAACTGTAATTCACTCCTATTAAACTCTTCAACCTTAAAAATGACATGATTCTTTGACATGGCACTTGTGTGGTCTGACACCATACAAGGGCGCTACTCGTGCTGCTTAAACTCAGGAGCTTTTTAGAAGGCAATAAATGGGGCGTTCGTATCTAAAGCACTCTCTACCTCAAATGCAGTGACTTCTTCACTTGGTTGACCCACTTGGGCTGTAAAATTACTGCATTTCTTCATTGCACAGCATTTTTTTATTGCTTATGTTATAACCATATATATTAAAATATATATTTTACCTA